GACATTTTTCTTGATTTTAAATTTCAATGATTTTCTACTGAATTTTATTGAAACTTATTGAAATTCACTGAAATTTCGCTAATTTTCAATGAATATTGCTGAAATTTATGACGATTTTGCTGATTTTCGATGAATATTGCTGAAATCATAATGTACGTGGGTCAATTGATTGAGTTTTTCAGCAAAATTTCAACACATTTCATTACGTTTTCAGCAAGTTTCATTATAATTTCAGCAAAATTTTTCCATCAGAGAATTTCTGCCTCGTATCAACCGTTGCTTTCGGACGCACGTCATGATCAATTTCTGTTGCGTTTCTGCTGTTACGTTCGAGCGGCACGTCGTGATCGATTTCTGCTGCGTTTCTGTCCTCACGTTCGAAAGCACGTCATGATCGATTTCTGCCGTATTTCTGTCATTAGTATATGATGTAGCACGTTGTGTGATATATCTTCTATATTTCTATTGTCATGCCGTGATAGCAAATCGTGTTCTATTTCTACCATACTTGTCGCGTCATTGATATAGAAATCAGGCTATGCGTGGAAGGTAACATATTTTTGCAATTATATTATTAAAGCAAATGATGATATATTTCTGTTACATTTTTGCCGGCACACTTTATCGGCAACACGTTGCAGAGAAAATTAAGTTTAATGAGGACACAGTTGCTTGAAATCTGCTGCATAACCATGATTCAATCTGCCAGCATGCTGCCAGCATTTTGCTTGCTGGGATAGATATTGAAACAATACAACAAAATTCGATATGCGATAAATATTGATGTAATATAGTGAACCAGTGATATAATTACTTTTATTGTAGATTTTTAACAAAAAGAAATAAAAATTTTAAGAAAATCCAAATCAAACAAATTAAATTACTAAATATTGGAAAATATTTTTTTAAAAATACTATTTAAAACAATAGTATTGTTTCGTCAAATGACATGATTTTTTTTTAAATAAAAGTTTTTATTTTCATCATTTTAAAAAATGATATTTCATTTAAAAATATAATATAACAAAAAACCACAAAATTAAACAAGTACGAATATTAAATCTAAAGAAAGTGTTTTCTCCAAAAAATGGCATAAGAAGTATAAGAAATATGCAATAAAACAAATTCTAGTATTAATGACTGCCACTAACAAGTACTATTCTAAATACTATTCTATAAGTATTATTGATGTGAAACATTACTGAATTTGAAATACAAGTAATAAAAATAACTAGTAAATAAGTAAAAAATATTATATTATATTCATAATATTTTTTAAATATTATGCTGCAATATTGTGAAAGTAATATTGCAAATTAATGTCACTGCAATGTTTCTGCAACATTGCACTGCAATATGCAACGTTATAGTAAAGGTTGCTGCAAGCTTCTATGCTGTATGGGACATTACTGAGATTCGAACCTGAGACTCTGATTCTTGAGTCGTTCACCTTACCTACTGCACCACTGTCACTTTGACTGAGAGACGCTTTGTATTGTACACATATGATGTATGTACAGAAACATATGGTTTATTTGAAAGAAGAGAATAGATCCTTGCTAAAAACTTGCTTGTAAAACTTACACGTTATAAATTTCAAATATTTTGTCACAATGTTGCGGATGGAATGTTATATAAAAACAAAGGAAACATTACAAATGTTTGTACCAACTGTATGCATGTTTTTATCATTCCACCCGCAACATTGTGACAAAATATTTGAAATTTATAACGTGTAAGTTTTACAAGCAAGTTTTATTATGTGACAATGTTGTATACAATGTTTTGATAAGAAAATGATGTATTAAAAATATAAAAGTCACGCTGGATACTCGTGCAAGGTGAGGACAATGTAAAAAATCTTCGGTTAAAGTTAATATATTTTAAGTTAATATATTTCACATATTCGAATTTATCCATTTTAATTTTTGTGCCAATTTAACACACGGAAAATGTTTTCATAAATAACACAACTTATTATTATACTTTACATGTAAAATATGTAATTACTAAGGCATTATTTTTTACATATAGATTGTGTTACATTGGCACTTAGGAATCGTAAATATGAACTCAAAGCAGAAAAATCAGAATAACCCTACGCAATATGTTAAATTAAAGCACATTAAATGTGTTTTCTGTTTCTCAGTCGCTATATTACGTCTCCCATTTTGAAAAAAAAGTGAAATTAAAAAATCTGCCCCGACAACTTTCTTCAGAATTTAATAAGTTTTAATTAAAAAAAAAAACCGTATTAAAATCGACTCAGATTTGAAGGCTCTAGACAATTTTGAAACACGATTTCTCGTTTCGTCCCACTGTGCGCCGTGATGGCAGGCCATACTCCAATTTTGACGTGATGCTGTTGTCATATTGTGACGGCACGTCTTGCTCGATTTTTGCTGCGTTTTTGCTGTCACGCTGTGAAAACACGATCTGCGCAAGTTTTGTTATACTTCTGCTGATACTTAGTGTTAGCAGGATATATTCGAATTTTACTGCATTTTTTTTGTCATATTATATTACCAGACCGTGTCGTCATAAACTAAGCTTAATGCGGACGCAGTGAATCGGAATCTGCTGAAAAGGTATGACCGAATTTGCTAGCACTGTGCTGGCACAGTGCTATCATTTGGCTATCTGGGTCTTTAGTGTAGCCGGAAACAGAATAAATATTAATAATAACGTATAAAATAACGACCAGGATTTAACATTTTTATTTAAAATCCCGGAAAACATAATTTACATATTCAGTGATAATTTTCGAACATGTATTTGTAACTTGATAGAACTTATATATATATATCCTGTATTACTATTAAGACGTGGCAGCATGATAAATCTTTTTATACGAAAAATCGCACAGATTTAAGAACTTCCCTATTTCGTGGTAGTAATATAAATCTAATCGCGATGTTATTAATAAATATTTCTATTTCACATAACATAAATATTTTTTGTCCAGAAATTTCACTTGACAGACCTGTAACGTTTTTTTTTGCACTCGTTAAATACAAGGATATTTTTTATAATACAATAAGAAAGATATTAATGTAATAATATTTTGATAATCATAACAATTTCATCTTGGCATTTATATTTTACAATTTGCTGAATTTACGATTTCATTGTTACCAATAAATTAATATACGAGTAAAAATTAACAATTGTTTTCGCATCTAAGACTGAAAATACTTCCGCAACATTATTTGTGGATCTACTTTACGTCGTTAATAAAAAAATTACAATTATGGTAACTCTTTATAGGTTCGCGTACATGATATAATCATAAAGAAGATACAATTCATCAAATATAATTCTAAAATATAAAACGCATATAATGTAATATCGTATTAAAGATAGTTTCGTAATTATTATCTATCAAAAATAATAATTATATAACACGAATTTTATTTTTTTAAGTGACCTTAAAAAAATAAATATTCTGTAATCTTAGAATATTCGACTATTCATGTTAAAGTAAGTAAATAATTATATATAATTAAAATATAATTTTTGTGTCATGTTAAAATGTTCGCTAAGTTATTAAATAAAATAAATAAGTACATGGTATATATATATATATATATATATATATATATATATATATATATATATATATATATATATATA